AAGCTTTATGAATCTTGGGGAAAAGGTGAAATACTTGAGCAATTTAACATGATAATAAACTAATATGGTATGTATGGTCATTGGTGGTGGTGGTAGGTGCCATCAAGTTAGTGCTGACTCACTGTGACACTGTACAACGTCCTGTCCTGCACCATTCTCACAACTGTTACGCTTGAGCCCATTTCTGCTGACACTGTGCCAGTCTGTGTCGTTGGGGGTCTTCCTCTTTTTCACCGACTATCCACTTTACCAGAGTCCTGGTATGGTGCTGTTGGTTAACGTGCTGGACTGCAAAGTCCACCAAAACCAGGAGGTCTGAGGTTCAAGTTCACCAACTACTCCACGGAAACCCTAGATGGGGTTGCTATGGGTTGGGACCCAACTCTACAGCACTTCACAACAATCCACTCTACCTAGCATGATATCTTCCTCCAAGGACTGGTCCCTCCTGAGAACTTTTCTGAAGTATGAGTTACTATACGATCATAATACTAACTGGGGACAGAATTTGGAGTGATGTTTATTTAAGATGAGGTTTTGGGTAAAGGTTGCATTCTTACTGTTAAATACCAAGAGTTAGGTATTCATAGGCAGCTGCCTGGGAATGCCTTGGTCAGTTGCAGATGTTATGGTAAGGATAAAACATCCCCTTCATCAGGGCTTCTTAGTGCTACGGGAAGCATATCTGGGAGGGAAATGGAAGAGCTGCAAGTGCCATTTAAAGGTTAATTAGTCCTGGCACTGTAGGATAAGCACTGGACTGCAAGGTCAATTTGAACCCCAAGGTCGGAGGTTCAAACTCACCAGCCCTTCCCCGTAAGTCCTATACCGGGTCATTATGAGTCGGCACTTAACAACAACAGTTTGATGAATGGAGTGCGGTGGCTCCAGGCAATAAGCACTAGACTACCCACCACAACGTCCATGGCTCAAGCCCATCAGCAGCTCTGCAAGAGAACGATGAGGCCTTCTGTTATTGCAAAGATTTACCAACTTCAAGGCACTTAAGTTTGAAGAATGTGGTCCCTTCTGATGTGGATTCTTAGGATGGGTTGGAGGTCTGTAGGGCAGTACTGACACCTACCGTGTGCCTGGCTGAAAAAAGGCAGCAAGCCTTGATTTGACTTGGAGTTGATGTTGAATCATACACAAGCTGTGTAGGATTTTCTTTGCTATAATCTTTATGTAGAAGTCTTGGTGGGGCGCTGTAGGTTAATGTGCTGGACTAAAAAGTCCTTTGAACCGCAAGGTCGGTGGTTCAAGCTCACCAGCTGCTCCTCGGAAACCCTATACCGGTTCGTTATGGGTCAGTACCGATTCGACGGCACCTCACAATAGCAATCTTTACGAAAGCTTATCACCAGGCTTTTTTTTCCGTGGGTGCCAACCACCAGATTAGTAGATGTCAAACTGATTGTATCCAGAGACCTTGCTGTGTACAAAGGGCTCCTCATAACTGAATTAGTACATGAAGGTTGTTACATTGCATCTCAAGCCTCATCTGGAACTTTCTCCATGGCAGGGCCCTCTCCTTTGCCTCGCGTCCTTTAACAGCCCCTTGGCAGACTCCCAGCAGCACAGGGTAAGCCAGGTTCCCAGTAAACTTAGCTGCTGTATGTAGGTTGGTTTTTCCTCGCCGCCAGGGAGGCCTTAAGTAAACAGGTCTTACGACTCAGGGTCGCAAGTCGGGAAACTCAGCGTTCCGAACCCCAATCCTCTCTCCACAGATCTCGTACGGCTGCCTGGGCTTCTATGTGGACGCTTACCTGGTTTCAGGATCAGTCTCCCGCCAAAGGGTATAGGGGAATCAGAATCCAAGTAAAAGACGCATCCGCAAGCGTGTTCCTAAGTCTGAGCACGCGCTGTACTCTTTCGCGGCTTCCCTCACTTGCCGGAGCCTCATTCTTTCAAACTGCGCATGCGATCACGTACCTCAGTCGGGCCCCAGAGAACCAATCAGAAGTGAGGCATTGACAGCCGCTCCCGCCCCTCCCATTTCGCAGGCGTCCGACAGTGGGGAGGGAAAAGGAAGGTGAACGCGCGCGCCGTTGTTCGGTTGTCTCCGCCCACCTTCCGAGCAGCCAATCTCGAGCAAGGCGCCGGGCGCGCGCACGCTCCAGCTAGTTTAACGGTCGCGAGAGGCCGCTCGCCCGACCCTGGCACCAGCAGTAGGAGCGGCGGCCAGGTAAGCGGCCGCCATCCTGTGTAGGGCTGTAAGTTGTAGGGGAGAGAGCACGAGACTTAGAAGATAGTATCATAGCGGACCCCTGACGTTTGGCTGAGAGAGGGTGGGGGAGGCGGCAGCCCCATCACTTTGCCTCTCAGCAACCCGTTGGCGTGTGGGGGTTTTGCAGGCTGCGGGGCTCCTTTCTAGAATTGGTGTCCTTGAGTGACACCCTCGCCGTCCAATGGCAGAGCGCTCCTTTCCGAGAGGTGGAGGCTTGTGGGATTCTTTTTTTGGGCAGAGGTGCCTTGGTTCATTTTTGGAATCCTGCTGTCTTTGTGGTGTTTTACCCCAGCCCTCCCTGCCGTGTAAAGCTTAGGCGACTGCGCGGGTTCGCCCTCGCCACCCACTAGGGTTCAATAGCCCCCTCTGGCCCCTGGGGTCCAGTTGTGAGCGCCAGAATGCCGGTTCCCGCCTCCTGATCGCTGAAGACACCCACTTGCCTCCTTCAGTCCCAGCAAAGCTAGAACCCTCAGTTAACTTTTCTATTATTGGCAACTCCAGGTCCTCCGTTCTCTTGTCTTAAATGTTTTATACTAGAAGCTGAAACATGAGAATTTGTTGCCGGGAAATCTACAAACGTTTCTGTTCTTGTGTCCATCTTCGATACCTATGTATATTTTTTCATTTGTTAAGAAGGGCAGAATTTGTCGCTGCAATATAGAAAAACGTCTCTGTTCTTATTATTCATCTCCACCAAGACCCACCCCGTCCCCCCGCCCAGTTTGCATTGGACACGGGCCCTCCACACCACCTTTCAATATTCCTTTCTTCCTCTGCGTTGAGAAGCATCATTGTATTTCAAGTGGTTTTCCGCTTGGATCCTCGTATCCGGATTACCTCAGCAGGGAGATAGAAGATGGGCTTGCAGACCAATCTCCCTGGAGAGCTGGTGCTTTGCAGGTCTAAGAGCCGGGAGATTGGGAACCAGATATTTTTGTTGCGCTCTGGAAGGTGCAGCCCCTTCCTTTTCAATACCCCATTTGTCCTTTAGTGATGGACATAGTCCCTGAGGAGCAATCCATTGAGTTAAATCTGGTTACCCTTCACTTGCACACCTGCCCCCCAAGGAAGTAGCTCCTTTATAGACTGAGGCTTTTAATGAACTTCACCACATTGTAAAACGGGGGCTCTGGAAAGGTGGAACCTGGGGGATCATGAAGAGCAGATCTTTTTCCTCTATGACACTCAAAAGTTTTCATTTTGTAAACCGTATAGATTTCCTATTGCTCTTCTTCGTTTTCTCTTGCTTCCTGGTTCCTTTTTAAATACTTGAATTTCAGGAGACAGAGAGGTTTGACTTGATACAGCCACTTTGCACACCCAGCTTCCGTATAATCTGAGTTCATCTGGTAAAGATTTTTTTTTTTTAAGAAGCGATACATGCAAAGAGAGCAAAAGGATATAAAGATATACGAAGGGGCTTCAAAAGTTAATGGAAAATAGAATCGAAAGAGAATAGAATTTTCCACCCCAGGTATACAGCAAACATGTTCCTTTCACCTGTCAGTGGGAGGCTGCCATTGTTAGTAGTTTGCTTGTTTTTCAAACCAAATTAAATACTGGATGTTGTTGTTAAGTGCTGTTGAGTCAATTCTGACCCATAGCGACCCTGTATAGGGTTTCCAAGGAGCAGCTGGAGAGTTTGAACCCCGACCTTGCATTTCAAAGTAACTTTCCAGTTCAGGCACATTAACCCACAGTGCCACACCAGGACTCTAAATATTGGATTGTTGTAGTTATGTGCTGTGGAGTGTTTCCGACTCAGCGACCCTGTACAGGGTTTCTGAGGCTGTAAATCTTTATGGGAGCAGAAAGCTTCATCTTTCTCTGCAGAACAGCTGACCGTGAGATTAGCGGCCTGGTTCGTAACCACTATACCACCAGTTCCCGTTTATTTCTTCACTGTATAAACCAAGCACTTTTATTTGTAAGAATTTATTAAATAGTATGCCAGTATTTCAAGTGTTACATGGAATAATAGTGTATAGAACTTTGATTATTAAGTACATGAAATTCTGAAATACTACCTAAAAAGGATGATGCTAATTTTGCAAATCCACCGTAATGTAGACTTTAAAAACTTTAAATATAATTCCTATATGAAGTTCACCATTATAGAGTATATAATGCAGTGGGGTTTAGTATTATTATAAAGTTGTGCAGTTTAATCACCACTATCTAATGCCCTTGTCAGCATCCTAAACGAAACTATAGCAGTCACTCCCTGGTCTCCTCCTCTTCCATCTTCTGGCAACCACTAATGTATATTCTGTCTTTAGATAGACTTGTCATGTAAGTGGAATCATACAATAGCTGGTCTTTTATGGCTGGCTTCTTTCACTTAATATCATGTTTTCAAGCGTCATCCATGTTGTAACATGGATCAGTATTTTACTTCTTTTCATGACAATAATATTCATGTATGGATAGACTATATTTGTTTATCCATTTATCAGCTGATGAACATTGGGGTTGTTTGTACATTTCCGCAACTGAGTAATAGTGTTATCTGTCATTGACATAGATTTGTAAGAAAGAAATCAAAGTCTGTAACTCATGAAAATACAGTTGCTAGGTTTAGTGGCTTTTATAGTATTTTTCCCCATTCATTTTTCAGACATTCTTTGAAGCTTAGGTTTTCATCATTCTGAATGTTAGCAACTGAAAATGCCTGTAGACGATGAAGCATCTGAAGATGACTCCGAGTCAGTTTCTTCAAACAGTGAAAGAACCTATACTTTCAAATCAGAGAGTATAACAATTTCTGTACACTATGGAAGATTTTGACTTGGTGAAAACTTTACAAAAGACGTCTCCATCTTCTGAAGAATCTGATAACAAAAATTGCCCCCATTGTCATGGACTGAACTTAAATACTAATCGGTAAGAATGAGGTAGCTAGATATTCCATAACATAACAGCAAACAGAAGAATTTTATTTGCGTCATTTACCAATTCATCCAAATGGTGTCACAGTTAACAAACTTGCATTTTAAAAATTATTAAAAACCTGTTTAGGGGTAGTTATTTAAGTTAAAAATAATTTTTGTCTCTTTCAGGTTTTTAAATTTTTCCTAGAGATAATGTAGTTTTACTTGTGGAGTATTGTGAAAAATACTTGTTTTGCTGGTTGTAGTTTTAAGCTTTTTTTTGTCTGTATGTAAAATTATAAGCTTATCTTTGAAATTTATTTGCTGTGATGTTATTTTTACTTTTGAATGGTACAGGTAATGGTTTCTGTTGTGGAAATACCTCTACAATCTAGAAAGTAGCAAAGTAGAATACTAGGAAGTAAGCAAAAAATAGTCTTTGAGTAGACAAAATAGCTGTTACCAAAAAATGCATTTTATTTTTATAAAGCAAGGTTTCAGTTAAATCATACCCTATTTATTCCCGTTTTATGCATAGTCTGACAAGTTTGATTATTTGGCTTCTGACCTTATAAGTAGCTTATAGCTAGGGACTGTTTGAGGGGAAGATCAGCTGTAAAAAAGCAGAAACATAGCAGTCTAGAATATGCTGCACATAACCTACCTGGAAGAAATTCTGTATTGCAAACCAGTTCATCATTTAATTCTTTTAATTCTCTGAAAGAATTTAAGGCAGCTTGCAAGAGTACATAAAATAAGACAAGAAAGCATAACATAGCATGAAAGAAAAAAAAAGTGATTTTTTTTTTTTAAATGATCTTTTTGAAATGGTTCAAAAGATCGTGTAAACCTTGCTCATCAGCTGTGTAACCTGTGAGAGCTGGAACTCACCGAGACTGCCTTGCTTTTCTGAATCTTGCAAGCTTTCTCCTTTTGACAGGGTGCACTATTCACACTTTTCTATTGCTCTCTTGATGAGAGGAAAGTATTTTCGTTTTCCTCCTCTGACAGGTTTTGCCTTATTACAAGTTCTGCTCTCAAAGATTTTACTGCATGGTGGGGCTTCGAAAAGTTCCTGGACAAATGTAGTTCAAAGGTAATGGACTATCTCCACAAGCTCTGTCGTACATGTGCTTGGTGGAGAGTTCACCATGCATTTTATGGGCTGTATCACTTGGTGACCTCTTCAAGCACACTTCCAAAAGAAATCCTTTTTAAAATGTGTTCGATTTGCTTGGAAGAACCTAAATGTACCTTTCTCATGAAGATTATGTAATTGAACTTGCTTTCCTTTTCCTTGTGACTGGCATTCAGTCGGTGACATGAAAGCTTGATTATTGTAAACGATGTCATCTCCTTGGGAACCATTGTTCTTCCCCTTGGATTTTATTGGCTACTGACTATTGTTTTCTTTACTAGTTTCTTTCTCTCTTTCTCTTTTTTTCTTTTCTTTTTTTTTTCATGGATTCTTTGTGGCTCAAAGCAGAGAATTCATAAGTATAAATGAAAATGGCCTTCCAGTGATGAGAGTTTAAACATATTTTACTGCCCTTAATTGTAACTTTGTGTTATTCTAGAATGAACTTGAAACACACTCATCTCAGCTTGGGAGGAGCAGCCCTCTGAGACCAGTGAGTTGTAGTTTATTTGCTGCGTATTTGCTGCGCAGTTTCTTGGCACAACTTTTCTTCAAAGGCAGTACTGAGATTATTAGTTTCTTATAGCAGCTCAGGGGGAGCAGTAGAAAAAGAATCCTGCTACAATTATAATAAATGGTTATTCTGAAAGTACAAGGTTTATCTGGAAAAAGTTCTATCTGAGAAGCCAGAAATAGTTCTTAGAATTGTTCAGCGTAAAAATATTCATTTTCTGTTGGTGCTCTACCTGTGTTCTCTCACTTCTGGGGAAACCCTTCCTGTAGTCGTCTTAAAAAAAGAAATAATTAAGTGCTGTCTTTTTCCTGCTATTTCTTTGTGGATAAGCTTGTGATCAGATTTTGGACAAATGAGGTGCCATTAGGTAGGATTAAATATCAATGGTTTTGTACTGCTCTTCTAAATCTTGACCTGCTGAATTATTCAACACTTTAGTAGAATGAAGAAAACCATTTGCATTATTTATGTTTCAACAGAAGTAGTCCCCACCTTAGTACAAATGGGGTATCCTCTTTCTCAGGGAAGACCAGACCGTCTGTAATTCAAGGGACAGTTGAAGTCCTAACCTCTTTAATGCAAGAACTACAAACCAGTGGAAAGACCGATTCGGCACTTTGGAAAAACTGTGAGGTATCCAGTTTTGTTTTATGTTTGGAATTTTAACAATTATATTTAAAAGTACCTCTCCTAAACTCTAAATTAGTAGATATTTATATTCTAAAGAACAGATACACTTAACTGCTTGCTTAAAGTAAGTTGGCCAAATTATATTAATTGAGGAATGATAACTGGATGAATGTAAAAAAGATGATTAAAAGTATGTTTTAACATTGTTAGTCATGAGACATTCTAATTTGTATATTAAGTGTAAACTAAAATGTCTTTTTTTCAGAGAACTAGGAATCCCAGAATTATTAAAGTTGTTACTAATTTTAATGTTTAAAGTAACATATGGAATTATTAGCATTTTGAAATATTTGGAGTGCTCTGGTACCTTATCTATAATTACATTTTGTTTTATTGATTTCAGTAAGTGATTCTTTAGTCCATAAGTTACATTGTGGCATAAAAACATGCAACAAATTTTATTTCACAGAAGAATGCATACAATAGACTTTGTCAGAGCAGATTTGGTAATGCATTATTGAAATTTATTAAACCTTATTAAACTAGAGAGCAGTATATTTAGTTTTAAATGTCAGTCATAATTTATGGGCATTTGTTTCCAGAATAATGAATAAATGAAACACAAGATTACCTGATTTAAAAATTCAGAAACACACTAAGTGTAATTACATATATTTAGTAAGCACAATTGTTGAGATTATACAAATGACTGAATATTACTGCAAACTCAAAACACATTTTTTCCCCTACTTTTTGTGTTTTGTTCCATAGAATCAGTCTAATAGAAAACTACAAAATGCCATTTTGAAATAATGCTATTAGAGACAAAATGCCTCATTAAAATTTCCCCTACTGTATCTATTCATTGGCTACATAATGCATGTCTTTTTTAAAAAATGAAACATTGACACAATGTAACCTTAACTTCTGGCCAATTTATGTTTAACTAAACTATTAACTTTTTGTACCTTGAAATCAACTCCTAAGAATTCCAATAGTTAAGTATTCTTGAGTAGGTTCTGACTCATGGTACCCTGTATAGGGTTTTCAAGGAGTGGCTGATGGGTTTGAACTGCTGACCTTGTGGTTAGCAGTCTGGTGCTTATCCTCCAGCACCACACACACTAGGACTCTAGAATTAGAATACTAATTAGCTTTTGTAAATTTGAGATACAGATTATTACAAATTAGATTATTACACCTTATAATTTTTGAACCTAATACGTTCTCTCTCCATTTCTTTACCTCTGTTATAACAGATTATTACTACATTTCCCTACATATAAAGGGCCCACATAAATAATGCTTGTGTACAGGAAACTAATGTGCAAGAGGGTTGGGTGGTTTGAACCAAAAGTATGTAATGTGCACATTATTTGTATGAAAATAGAGTATACTGTGTGTACTAATAAGGAGCTCTGGTAGCGTAGTGGTGACGAATTGGGCTGCGTACTACAAGGTCAGCAGTTCGAAACTACCAGCTATTCAGTGGGAGAAAGATGAGGCTTTCTGCTCCTATAAAGATTTACAGCTTCGGAAACCCTGTACAGGGTCACTATGAGTTGGAACCGACTCCACGGCACACAACCACCGACCACTACCATGTGTAGTAATAGTGACTTAAGTTTTGTAATGTGGATATGGAATTGATTATTCAGTGAAGAGTTGCTTTAAGATATTTCTTATTTTGACAGATATGAAACATACTTTTGGCCAATTAAGTAAACTTTTTTTGGAATTTGTGCAGCATGTTTTTGTTGCATATGAAAACCTGCAGAAGAACTCTGTGATGCTTTAATATTAGAGGGGAGGTAGATTTAAGGATCAAGTGTATTCCTAACTTTTATCTGAATTTCATGTTTTTATCTCCCTTTTGAAATAGTAACTTGTTCTGATTTCTATCATTTTTAATAGTGTACAGTGTAATGAGTTCTGGTGATGTAATGGTTAAACCTTATTTAGCAGCAGTACTTAGCTGCTAAACAAAAGGTCAGTAGTTCAAAGCCACTAGTCACTCCTCTGGAGAAAGATGTGGCAGTTTGCTTCCATAAATATTAACAGCTTTGGAAACCCTTTGGGCATTTCTGCTCTGTCTGATAGGGTTGCTGTGAGTTGGAATTGACAAGAGGGCACTGGGTTTAGTTGATTTATTTTGCCATTTTTTGGTTGTTATTAAAGAGTCCTGGTGACCCAGTAGTTAACCATTCATCTGTTACCCACAAGGCTGATGGTTTGAACCCCCCAGACACTCCCTTGGGAGCAAAGATGAAACAATCTGCTCCCATAAAGATGATAGCCTTGGAAACCCTATGGGTCAGTTCCACTCTGTCCTCTAGGGTCATTATGATTTAGGATAAACTCATGGCAGCAGAATGGAATCGACATTAAGGAAAAAATACAAAATCTTTTGCAATTTGAGCAACTAAAAGATCTGGAGAGAATGTGATTTCTTTAGAGTCCTTTATAAGATCTCTCCTGATTTCTACGTTTCTTACTGCTCAAACTTGGGATGTTTACATAATTTCATAGGGTAGAGTTTTTTAATACATTAATAATACATTAACAAAGACTTTAATGCTTTCTTAAATACTTGCTATTGCTAGTATTTCTGTAATTGTCAGGAACAAATTTTTTATTGTAATAAAATACATATTTTTTAGTTGCCATCTTCACTGTTTTTAGGTGTACACTTCAGGGACACATTCACCGTGATATGCTGCCATCATCACTATTCATCTCCAACAGGTTTTGGTCTCCCTACACAGAATCTCTGTTCTCTTTGAAGCCATAACTCCCTTTCCCTTCTCCCTCAGCCCTTGATAACCACAAATAATCTTGGATCTGTTTACATTTGCCTATTCTAGATATTTCACATAAATGGGATTGTGCTGTACATGTTCCTTTATTTCTGATTTACTTTATAGAAAAATTTAAAAGGGTTGCTAACTAATTTCTGTTAACCAGTTTAGCTTTTTAATCTATTTAGTATTACTGATTATAACATAAAAAATTATACAAAAATAACTATTGTCACAGTAACTGCCATTTCGGGAGAAATCTGAGACAGTTTCCTGTCATAAAGCTTTCCAGTCTCAGAAACCCTGTGGAGCAGTTCGCTCTGTCTTGTAGGGTGGCTGTGAGGCACAGGTGACTTGGTGCTAGTTGGTAAGCTTTGGTTTCATCCACCATTTAGTTAGTATGTGTTTGCTGGGAATCGACTCAGTGGCACTTAACAACAATACCCAAAGAACAGTTTTTGTTAGTGGCACTCAACCCAGCCACCCTCCTTTTTTAATAGCAACTTTCAAAATATTACCACTCTTCATTATCCTGAAATGAAATTCACAGATAATATAACCTACCTGTAGAGAGTCCTATAAATGTTAGAGTCCTGGTGTGGCGCTGAGGGCTAATGCGTGAGACTACAAAGTTGTTTGAACTATAAGATCGGTGGTTCAAGCTCACCAGCCGCTCCTTGGAAACCCTATATAGGGTCGCTATGGGTTGGAATCAACTCAAAGGCACTTAACAACAACAATAACATAAATGTTGTATAAAGGAAAAAGAAAATTATAATAAAATAATATGTTTCAACAGAGAACTGCTTGGGCACCTCTCCATTGGAACACAGTGGCCTGGTATGTCCTTGTCCGTAGACTCACGAAGCGCACACAGCTACAGACAGTCTGATTCAGTGTGTGGTGTCAGCAATCCAGCTGCCAGGGCAGCTGGCCCATCAGTGACCTGGTTTTCTGAAATGATGACCAGTGGTGATAAAGTTCTGAAACTAACTAGGATCTAGGTGGTTGCGTTCCTGGACAATTTGTGATATGAAACTGCAAGTTATACATCATTTTTCTAATAGCAAATGGACATAGGACAATTCTTCATTGTGGGGGGCTGTTCTGCGATTTGCGTCTCTATGCCTTGACATGGATACCATCCACCCTTCTCATATTTGCAACATCCATGAACTCGCTGATTTCCAAAATACAGCTTCATTCTCATTGAGACCTGTGTTACCTGTTGTACCATCAAATCAGTTCCACGTCATACAGACGCCCCGTCCAGCAGAGGCGAGCGCTGCCCGATCCTGCACCGTTCCTCACAACAGTTGCTGTGATCGATCCGTTGTTGCAGCCACTGCATCTGTCATTTCATTGAGGGGCTGACTGTTTTTGCTGACCCTCTACCAAGCACAATGCCCTTCTCCAGGAAGCGGTCCCCACGTATGTGAGACGGATGTTACCAGTATCATTTAAATGTCAAATCTAGGTCTCCCAGTCACTGATGAGCTAGGAAACTGAGGCACAAAGATGTTTAATTTATTCGTTTGAGACCATGTAGTTTGTTGGTGCAGAGCTTGGGGGTCAACTGTTGTAATTTTATATGACTGCAGAGGGGGTAACTTTTAATTAGTTACTCAGGTCCTTCAACAGTATGTAAAATGCAGGTTGTTGTTAAGTGCTGCTGAGTTGGGTTCCGACTCATAGCGATCTTGTATAGGGTTTTTGACGAGTGGCTGGTGAGTTTGAACTGTCGACTTTGTGGTCTAGTGCTTATTCAACAGCACAGCAGTACTCCAAAATGGATTGTAGCTTATATAGCACATAATAGTCCTTAATTCACTCAGTAATGTTATTAATGTCATTTGTGATATTTTAAAATGCGTTTGTTTAAAATTAAAATATTAACTCCAAAATCTAAATAAGAATTAAGCTCTATTTGCTTCTCAAATCAGAAAACGCCAATAAAGATGTGGTAATTGTCAAGTGTCTCACTTGACATGAGGCCATTTGTTTGGTTGAGTGATTTATTGATCTATCGTTATAAGGAACACTGGTGACACTGTAGAATAAGTACCAGACTACTAACTGCAAGGTCAGCAGTTCAAAGCCAACAGCTGCTCCATGGGAGAAGGATGAGGCTTTCTGCTCCCATACAGATTGGCAGCTTCAGAAATCCTCTCTAGAGTCACTGAGTCGTCATCAACTTGATGGTGGTGGGCGGCTCTATAATCATTATTATAATTTAGTTTTATGAGAATAGTAACTTCATCAGGTAAAAATAACTCTAAAATGTGTAAGTATAGTGTGACTTAGTAAGAAAACTATATTATTTGATTCTTTTTGTTTTTATTGATATGAGACACTTCATATTATAGCTGAGGGCCCCTGGTGGTACAGTGGTACAAGTGCTGGGCTGCTAACTGAAAGAAGAGTTGATGGTTTAAAGCCACCAACCACCCCACAGGTGTGGCCGTCTGTTTCTGTAAAGAAGAAACCAATCCAAACCAATTGCCATAGAATCACTTCCAACACTTGTTGTTGTGATGTGCCGTGGAGTCGGTTCCGACTCATAGTGACCCTGTACAGGGTTTCCGAGGCTGTACATCTTTACGGGAACAGAAAGCCTCATCTTTGTCCCGCAGAATAGCTGACCTTGTGGTTTGCAGCCCGATTCGTAACCACTACACTACCAGAGCTATATAAAGATTTACTGGAGTGGAAAGCCTCATCTTTCTCCTGCAGAGCAGCAGGTAGATTTGAACTACTGACCTTGCAGTTGTCCTACAGTGCTTATTCTATAGTGCTATCACTGCTCCTTTCCATACACTGCAGTCTTGGAAATCCTACGATGCTGTTTCATTGGTTGCAAGGTCCAGGAGATTCCTGCTGGACAACACTCAGTGAACTGCATTGCCCCCATCCCTTTGGCCTTTCAGAAATTCAATAAAGTGGTTTGACCCAAGGGTTTGGGGGAAAGTCCTATGAGGCCTCTCTACTCTACCATTAGGGCCATTATGGGTTGGAATTCTCGATGGCAGTGGGTGTATTATAGCTACGTCAAGAACTTAGTCTACTCTGCCTTGAAATTAGTTGATTTACGATCGAACTTCCTAGGATAAGCACTCCTGATGTGGCACTGTAGGACTAGAAACCACGAGATCGGCAGTTCAAACCTATCAGCTGCTCTATGCAGGTTTGCTACGAGTTGGAACCGACTTGATGGCACTTAACAACAACAACAGTATAAACACTGGACTGCTATTCGCAAGATAGGTGGTTCAAACCCACCAGCTACTCTTCAGAAACCGTGTATAGGGTTGTCGTGAGTCAAGTGACTGGATGGCACTTAACAACAACATCTGTAATGCCATTTCATTTTGCAGACTTAACTTTTCAGTCCTGAGGTTTTTTCCTCCTTCACCCTTATTCTACTCTACGGGTGTCTATGTAATTCTGTTGTAGTTCAGACTTTTCAAACTAAAAACTGGTAACTAGCTTTCACAATGAGCTTGAAGATCCTTGGGTATGTCTCAGTCTATGACATGAAGAGAAATACCACCTGACATGGATGCTTTTGTGCACTCAAATAGACTTAGCTTTGGGTACCTGCTCTCTCTCGGCCCTGTGTTCTAATGCTGGAGATGAGCTATGAAGGAAGTAAACCAGCTGACGAGAAAGAGGAAAGCTGTTTCGAGGGTTGTGGAAGGAACCAGTGAAGCTGAAATTGCAGGTTGAGAAGAAGGTAGTCATGAGCTAGGGAGAGCGCATTCCAAGTCTGGAGTGCAGCCAATACAGAACTTTGAAGGTGGAGGATAGTTTTGGCATGTACAAGGAACACAAAGAGCCCAGGACAGAGAGGGACGTGGTGGAACTGGAGTATGTTTGAGGTGGATTGTGCTTGGAAGCAGACTTGGAAAGGTATCGACATGAGAACTTCGTTATCACTGGTGTAATATTCTTGCATGCAGTTGCTTACTGAGAGTCTTCCAGCTGTGAGATTGCACTTGGCCATCCTTCCTTCCTGGTGTGTGTCTGTGTAATGTAATTATGCCCATCAGAACATGGATTGCTTGGTTTTTTAGTCACAGCATATAAATAGGGTTTAAACTTTCATGGTACCAAACTATTTCTTACTTTAGGTTGTGGGATTCTTTTTCTGGCGACATGTCAGTGTTTAAGAAGTTAGCTGTTATGAGGAAAGGGAGGGGCAGAATGTAAGAGAATGTAAGAGCAAGTATCGGTTACTTTTTAATCAGAAATGATAGCGGACGATATTCCGTGAAGATGCCATCTGAAGAAAACAAGATTTACTAGTCCTTCAGGATCCCAGGTTACATGAGAAAGGGACACTCAAGTCTATGTCCTTGTATTTCTTAATGTCTGTTTATAGCTTAATCTGTTTTAGTCAGCTTATCAAGTTTATATACTAAAAAAGGTCCTTACCCACTGTGAAAAGTTACCTGAATTTTTAAAGTTCACGTCTAACTGAAATATTTTATGATTTAATAGACTCGGTGGTTACAACTATTCAATTTGGTGGAAAAGCAGTGTCAAGAACAGATAGTTGTGCAGCAGGAACAGTTCCACAACCAAATTCAAGTACGTTGTTGTTTGTGTATGAATCTTTCATTAAAAGCTTTTGAGTTCTGGTTTGAAACTACCAGCTGTTCACGGGAGAAAGATGAGGTTTTCTGCTCCTGTAAAGATTGACAGCCTCGGAAACCAGACACAGGTCTAGAGTCAGAACTGACTCTATGGCACATAATCAACCAACCAACCAACCGTTTTTTAATATTTGTAAGGTTTGCACACAAACCAATGCTGTACTTTATACCAGTTTTGTTTGTAAACTAAAGATAAAGCATATGTGTTTTCTTGATAAGTAACATTTAAGTATGTGACATAATTACCTTTTGGTTTGTTTGATTTTTAAGTAGAACTTCTTTATTTTTTTCATATTTAAAATTCTTGGTGGTAAAAAATATATATAACAAAACATTTTCCATTTCAATGATTTTCTTGTGTACCATTCAATGATTTAATTACATTCACCATTTTGGGAAACCATCACCACTCTCCCTTTCAAAGTTTTCTTTCATCCTTAACAAGCTCAGTATAGTCAAGGCCCCGGGCTACAAAAGTTCAGTTTCTGATTTATGAACACTTTGTTTTTATATAAGTTTGCCCTCACTTTGAAATAACTGAATCAACTCTCACTCTACTGAACCAGCCTTTCAAACAAATAAATTTGTCACTGTCACACTGAAAAGACTGAGCGTCTGCTTGCACTAAGGTAAGGTGCAGTAAGAACTGTTCTGACTTACCTACAAAATTAGACTCACAGTCGCACACAGGAACTGATCTCACTTGTAACCTGGGCACTGAGAAACATTCATTCCTCTTTGCCTCCTCTTCTCCATGTCAGTAACCACTAAAAAACCGTGGTTGCCTGGCATTTCCCAATTTTAGGAATTTCATGTAAGTGGGACAGTACACTGTTGTCCTTTTGTGCCTGACTTTTCTTACTTCTTCCACTTTTCTTTCAAGGTCCATCCTTGTAGTAGTATGTGTCAGTACTGACTTCTTTCTCCCATGACACAACTAATATACTGTGTGTGCATGCCACATTTTTTTTATTCATTCATCCTTGGGCTGTTTCAGCCTTATGGTTCTTATGGTTAATACTGCATTGAACATTGTTGAATGAGTGTTTGAGTTTTAGAGGAACATTTGATGCTATTTTTAAATACAGTTTTAAATGACATTTATAAAACTGAGGTGCTTCCTATATACTCTCATACCAAATCCTGTAACACTTTTTTTTCAGCGTATACAAGAAGAGATCAAAAACTTAGTGAAGTTACAGCTCAGTAACGCTTCCTGGGTTCCCTGTGATAGTTCTTCAAGCAAACAAATAACGTACGAAAGTCAAATGGGTTTTTTTTCGGAAAACAGTGAAAAAAATGATTCTGTGCTCAGTTTTTCTAAGTCTAAAGAACCTGAAATGCATCAAGAACCGTTCCCATCACAACCAGACTGCAACATGGATAGCAGCTCAGTGAGCAGTGGGTATGGTACCTTCTGCATTTCAGAACTGAATAGCTGCAAGCCACAAGACCCTAAAGAGTTCATGGAGACCACAGAGCTTCTTAAAGGGCCGTATGTGGCACCTGTGGTACAGGCAGCTCCGTTTGCTGAGAGTGTGAAAAACCAGAGTTTCTGCATACACACCACTGGAGAGTCCAGTGCATTGTTCAAGAAGGAGATTTCTGTGTTTCCCAGTGGATTTGAACACAATTTTCTCAATGAAAATAAGATTTCTGAAGTATATAGTGGAAAAACAAATAGGTAAGTGGAATTTCTCTGTCATTTGGAAGGAATTTTACTTGTTTATTATACTTGGTGGTAGTAGTCGTATGCTGTTGAGTTGGTTCTGATTCATAGAGATACCCTGTTTCCAAGGCTGTAAATCTTTACGGGAGCAGAAAGCTTCCTCTTTCTCCCATGGAGTGGCTGGTAGATTTGAATGGCTGACTTTGCAGTTAAACCCTCTATACTGCCTGGGGTGTTTGTTTATTACATATAGAATCTATTAAATAAAACTCCTTTTGGTGAGACTATAATGTACCAGCTGCTCTTGGGAAACCCTATACAGACAGGGTCGCTATGTGTCAGAACCGAATTGATGGCATTAACAACATCAACAACATAATGCAGTGAGATGTACCAGGTGAGGATGGTGGGAGAGGTGCTTCAAAAGTGGTTGGAAAAATTTTCTGAAATCCCCCTTGTATGTGAACAGTGATTAGTTTACCATTAAAATTGAAGCCTTTATGTATTGCTTGTGAAAAATTAAAATGAGCAAACACACCATGTATTAATGACATCTGATTTCCTTCCCATTTGACTGCTAAACTCTTTTTTTTGACTGTTGAACTGTGGAGGTTAGAGACCATGCCAAAAAATACTTTTCCTGTATTCAGTCACTATTTCAGCACTGTGTTCAAAAGCAAAGATAACAGTTTAAGGAGTAAGGTGTGCCTCCCCCATGCCTTGGTGTTTTCAGTAGCTTTATATACATGTGAAAGTTGAACAATAAACAGGGAAGTCCATAGAAGAATTGATGCATTTGAGTTATAGTATTGGAGAAGAATATTGAACGTACCGTGAGCTGCCAGAAGAACGAATAAATCTGTGTTGGAAGAAATAAAGCCAGAGTGCTCCTTAGAAGTCAGAATGGTGAGGCTTCGTCTTTCATACTTCACATGTATTATCAGGAGGGACCAATCCCTGGAGAAGGACGTCTTGCTGGGTAAAGTGGAGGGCCAGCGAAAAAGAAGAAGGTGGATTGGCTCAGTGGTTAACAGCAGTGGTATCAAGTGTAACAGTGATTGTGAGGACGGCACAAGACCGGGCCATGTTGTATTCCACTGTGCCTAGAAGGTCACTATGAGAAAGAGCTGACTCGGTGGCACCTAACAGCTACAGCAACCTAACATCGGCGTTGGGTGAGTGGTTTAAACCCACGAGCAGCTCTGAGAAGAAGATGAAGCTATCTGCTCCCACAAAGATGTACAGTCTCGGAAACCCTGTATAACGTTGCTATGGGTTGGAATTGACTCGATGGCAGTGGATATAAATGTGCCAGAAGTTCAAGTTGAAGACTGTAATCTTAGTGGAATTTTGCTACACATGTTCAGATTATAATCTGAAACCAAAATAAATTCAGTCACTTTTTGTTTGATTTAGGATACATTTTAGTAAAGGAAACTGGCTGAATGGTTGTAAAAAGCAAATAATCTTAAAATTATGTGGTTTACCCTAATTTTTCAGTTTGATATTGCTGAAATATGTGTAGTAAGGTATTTCCCTATGGCAGTAAAAAAAATCTTGTCTATTGACAAGTATAATTATTTTTCTGCCAAGTCATATGCTTTCACTGTAGAGATTGGTTTAGAGTCTATACGGTGATCTTAGTATTCCATGACTGCGCTCACTGATGGGCTTTTTGCTTTGCCTTTGCCAATAAGATCTGGAGAACGGAAATTTCGGTAACAATTTAAGTCCATCCTGTTTTTACTATTAAAACACCTCACAGCATTTTCCGCAGACACAGAATGCACTGATGTTGAGTTATATATGGGAAGGACATAAAGTAATTTTGAATTTCCTTTTTTAATAGTAAATCTATAACATCCTGGGCACAGAAGCTGAAGCAGAACCAACCAAAGAGAGCACTTGTAGAAGAGGAATGTTCAAAACCAGTGCAAGGAAATGAGCAAACGAAGTCACCAACTGAGCACGTAGGTGATGACTCCTCTTCCGTAGCTGTGACTGCAGAGAGTGCCTCATGCACACTCAGCAGCATAACTGGTTTTAGTCCTTTCTTCTGTTTTGTTCATCTGTTCCACAGACAGATCAATCTGAGAGGATTGGATTAGGAAACGCTACAAGTATTGATGCTTTACAAAGAACCTTGGGGCACCGAGATTACGTGTTGAGCTGCTAAAAGTCAGTGGTTTGAATCCAGCTCCCACTCCTGCACGTCTGGGGAAAAGATCTGATGATCTGCTCCCATAAAGATTACTGTTGTTAGGTGCTGTCAAGTTGGTCCTAACTCATAGTGACCCTACAAACAACAGAAGGAAACACTGCTCAATCCTGTGCCAGCCTCACAATTGTTGTTATGTTTGAGTCCATTGTAGCCACTGTTGTTATCCCAAAACTTGGGTCCGATGCCTTGGGAGTGTTTGAGTCCAATTAATAACTACTCCAGATATGGAAAGAGAAAAGCCTTCATTATTTTTAGGACTAGCAGAACAACTCACTGCAAATAGACTGGCACTAGACCACAAGGTTGGATTAAATCTCAAGGTCGTTGGTTCGGACTCACCAGTCACTCCTTGGAAACCCTTTATAGGGTTGCGCTGAGTCAGAACCAATTCGATGGCACTTAACAACAACAACAACAACAACTGATATTCAAGTAACTCTTTGTCTCTTTGTTACAAGCAGTATTTATATTATTTGTCAACAACGTTAGTTAGCCCTGGTGTGGTGCTGTACGATAACCTGGACTGCTAACCACAGGTTGATAATTCAACCCCACCAGCTACTCCTCGAAACCCTATACAGAGTCATTATGGGTCGGAACCAACTTCACTGTCTTTCACAACAGCAACTAGTATGATATGCAGTTGGGCTATAATTTTATCATTCACATTAAGCTGGTTCTGATGCCCCAATAAATATTCAAAGGGGAGGGCATGATTAACTATCCTGGTGCCTATTTGTCCAGATGGTCACTGCTTATCAAATGTTACACAAATGGAGCAGGTTCCAAGTAGAGCTAGGCAATAATTAACATTCCAACTAAAAATGGTTTAAAGACCAATCGAAGAAACAGGGACAGGTTGGGGCTGTGCATAAGTTGCTGTTATGCAGTGTTGATTATAGTGACTCTTCGCTAAGCCACGTAGTGATGCTTTCAAAATGGTTACCCTTATATTCTCACTGTGTCAGTCAGTCCAGTTCACTGAGGGACGTCCTCTTTTTTGCTGACCCTCTGCTTTACCTAGCTTGAAATCCTTCTTCAGGAACTGTTCCCTCCTTATCACGTGTCCCATCCTAGTTTCTAAGGAGCATTCTGGCTGTAACGATTATAGCTAGGAAACACTAGGCAGTTCTACTCTGTCATATAGGTAGGATCACTGTGAATTGGAATCGACTTGATGGCGCTAGGGTATTTGTTCTTTGTTGTTGTTGTAAAGTGCCGTCAAGTCGATCCCGACCCATAGCGACCCTATATAGGGTTTCCAAGGGGCAGCTGGTGAGCTTGAACCACCGGCCTTGCAGTTCAAACAGCTTTGGAGTCTGGCGCATTAACCCACAGCACCACACCAGGATTGTTCTTTAGTAGGCCAGAAATCAAAATGAATGAGGGATGTGGTACTATTAAATGACCACTTTATAAAGATTTTATTTCTCTTTGGTACTATAAATTTTTCCATTTAGCCAGAGAGTAATTCATTTAATTGTTTAAAGAAAGAAACAAGCAAACAAAAATTGCCTCAAACGGTACCTGTTACTATTAAGTTCTAAGTAGTAGTAGTATGTTTGTTGAATACTTGAAGTAAGATGCTTTTATTTCTTCTCAGCACTCTTCCTACTTCCTCTCTGTGTTTACTGTTTCCATTCAGTCTGTCCTATCCTAGATGTTGAAGTTTGGACAAATTTGAATTTATAATGTAAAATGTAAGCGATTACATGGTTAAATTTTGTATGATACTATTGCTAACTCAGCAGTTATTTTTGGTTACAGACTTACAGCATAGCTTTTAATACATCATTAAAACCCTTGTTGGCCTGAAGTGCCATGAAAGAACCCTGTTATGATACTGTAGGATAAGCACTGTGCTGCTACCCACAAGGTCAGCAGTTCAAACCCAGCTGTTCTCAGAAACCCTGTACAAGGTCTCTATGAAGCGGAACTGACTAGATGGCACTTATCAACAACAACATTGTCATAGCATGGCATTGTTTAGTGTCCTACATTCAAAGTGCAAAATTAGGTCATTCTGCACACCTGAGGCCTTTAGAAATTGGGTATGATCATCTAAACACAGCGGTTCTTTAAGTCTTTGAAACAGATCTGTTAGAGAATCCAGATCACAAGAAGGCAGTCTCTTAGCCTTCATCAAACCCAATCAAACCCACTGCCATCAGGTGGATTCCTGTTCATGGAAACCCTGGAGCACAGAGTGGAGCTGGCCCTTTGGGTGTCTGCGAGTGTGAATCTTTATAGGAGACGAAAGTCTCATGTTTCTCCCGCCGAGCTCCTAGTTAAGTTTGAACTGCTGACCTTGTGATTAGCAGCCCAAGTCATAACCCACTGCACCACCAGGTGCCTCCAGCCATCATGGTGTTGGTTGGTGATGATGTGCCGTGCAATCGCTTCCAATTCACAGTGACCCTATATAGGGTTTCTGAGGCTGTAAATCTTTACGGGAGCAGAAAGCCTCATCTTTCTCCTGCGGAACAGCTGGTTGTTTTGAACTGCTGACCTTGAGGTTTGTAGCCCGACTTAAACCACTATGCTACCAGAGCTCCTTTTCAGCCATCATAAGTCACTATATATTTCCCTTTCAGTAATTTTTCTCTTTACCCCATAGCTATTTAGGCTTATTAAGCTCATCATAAGGAGCTCTGGTAGCGTAGTGGTTATGAATTGAGCTGCGAACCACAAGGTCAGCAGTTCGAAACTACCAGCTGTTCTGCGGGAGAAAGATGAGGTGTTCTGCTCCTGTAAAGATTTACAGCCTCGGAAACCCTGTAAAGGGGTCGCTATAGGTCGGAACCGACTCCACAGCATATAACAGTAACAACAAGAAGCTCATCATAAGGGTCCGGGTATGCCAGTATAGAGTAAACACGAGACTGCTAACTGCAGGTCAGCAGTTCAAACCCAGCAGCCGCTCCTTGAAAACACTATACAGGGGAGCCTAATCAGTAGCGCTTAACAACAACAGTCTCACCATAAGGAGCTGTGGTGGCACAGTGGTTAGTTAGGTCCTCAGTTGTTAACTGGAACACTGGTGGGTCAAACCCATTAGTTGATGCATGGGAGAAAGAGATGGCAGTCTGCTTCTGTAATGATTGCTGGTGTGCCGTCGAGTTAGTTCCCACTCATAGCGGTCCTTTGTAGGGTTACAGAGGAGTGGCTGGTGAGCTCGAATTGTCTACTTTATGGTTCAATCCAACCTTGCAGTTCAGCACAGTAACCCACAGCACCACACCACAGCCTTAGAAACCCCATGGAGTAATTTTCATCTGTCTTGTTGTTAGATGCCATTGAGTCTGTTCTGCATCATAGTGACCCTGTGTACCACTGAACAAGATACTACTCATCCTCACAATTATGTTTGAGCCCATTGCTGTCTTATGAGTCAAAATAAACAGTAGGTTAATGTCACTATTCTTTGAATTTCTTCAGATTTGTATGGAGGAGCAAGACCATGAAGGTGCAGAGAGCTACACAAAAGCCTGTTAGTGCTTTGTGGGTGGGTCTTTTCTGTGGAACCTATGTGATATCAAAGGTGGTATGATAGCGTCAAGGTATTTGGAGACTGGGATTAAAACTGCTCTTTCCCATTGTAATAGGTTGGCATCAAGTGAGATTGCTTGTATTTATAGTGATACTGAACTCAGAGGGTTCACTGCCTGTTCCCTAGGGATGAATAACTTAGAGGGATTTAAGCACTTATAACAAATAAAGACAGGGAGATCATTCTCAAAGCACTGTTTCCTGAGCAGACGATTCAGGGAGTTTTTCAGTTTTCGAGGAATTAGGTGATTATGTATGTTCAGAACATTTCTGGGCAGTGATATGTGTTATTCAAGAAGACCAGGGTTAGGTCTTGCCTGGGAAGTTGCTGTCAGACCCCCTCCCTTAAAATGTGTCCAAGTAGCTGTATTTCTAGGATGTCCCCGGAAGAGTCAGAGGACAAGGTGGTCCTAATGGAGCATGTTTTCTAATCAAGTTGGAACTGGCTCAGGGTCCTTGGCTTGAAGAGTATCTGTAACAAGAAAATTAACAAAGAAACGCAGTTTTATGTCTTTGTTCCTGGTATCAGTTTGGAGAAAAGCCAATGGGCTCTATTGCAGGAACAGGCCTGCTTCTGTGGAGCTTTTTCTTTTTGTGTAGTTTTGTTACTGTGGCTTAGCTTAGGTCTGCACAGGAAGTCTTCAGTCTAACAGGTCTCTTTCATTGTTACCTTCATTCATACTCCATTTTCTGGAGATTTTCTCCAGAACTTTTGAGTTTGTGGTTATGTATCTCATTCACTGACTTTTTTTATTGTCTTTTGTGACTGTAACTCACCTTGGGTTTGATAGAGTCCAGTGGTTCTCAAACTTGGCTGCGCATTAGGATCACCAGAGGATCTTTAAACTCATACTGATGCCTGGATGCCCACCCCAGAAGTTTCTGACTCCATCAGGAAAAGGGGGTGGCCCAGCATCCAGGATTCTGGTTTGATTCCCTGCTGAGAATTTGTTGAATCCACCAGCTGCTCTGAGTGAGAAGGATAAGATTTTTTGCTCCTGTAAAGGTGTACAGCCTCAGAAACCCTAGATACACATGGTTGTTATGAGTCAAAGCCGACTGTCTGGCAAACCCTCACCTCATCCACATACTGCATTTGAATAAGATCTTGTTAAAATGCAGATTTTGATTCAGCCTTTATGGGGTGGAAATGCAAACTCTCAGCAGACGGTCAAATCTAGAGTGAACTAGTTCTCAGCC